GATTATGGTAACATGTTGACACTAAACGATGAATTCAACAATATCTGTATAATATGTGTTGTCCTCTTGGTGGGATGATAGTGTATCAATGCGTGACATGTTGGAATTCACATGAAATGATGGAATTCAATGTATTTTATTTTGTCATCTTTTGCAATTATTTAGGAGGTGCAACTGGTTCAAGTTGGGGGATTTCTTCAATTTTTGGTGGGAATGATAACAACCGCACACCTGCTAAAGAAAGCTTAATAAACAAGTCATATAATGAACCTATCCACAACATTGAACAAGCAGTCTCAATGATCCATTTAAGAGAGGTATTTTGTCATTTTCAATGTTGACTTTGCCTGTGGGCCTTTATTGTAATTCATTTCTAAATATCCGACATTATTTTATTTTTCTGTGTTTTCCTAACTTGTTTACCCTTCTTTCAGCCCCCAACTGTATTGAGGCCCACAGAGAGCCACTCAGAGCAGGAGACAATTGAAATTGCAGTCACAAAACTCCTATTAAGATCATACTATGACATTGTTAGGAAAAATATAGAGGATTCTGTACCAAAAGCAATAATGCACTTCCTGGTAATATCAACTTTCATGGATGTGCCCAGCTATTTACTTTTTATTTTGCGTCTTTTTTCCAATGTTTTCTTTTTCATATTCTGGAATGGTATGATATTATAGTTTTGTGTTATACAATTACCTATGAGGTACAAGTGGTAGAATTGATTTTCATTTAACGTGGGATGTCAAATTTGTACAATGATGAAACTTCAACTATTTTCTTGCAACCTCTTAAATCTAATGCTTCCTTATTATATTATACCCACAAAATTTGGGAGTCTTGTGAGTAAACAAAGTTTTTTTTAACCATATATATAATATATGTATTTGTTTGCTCATCCGCCTTGCATATATTCTTGTACTATTTTATTGTATGAAAGTACATGTAGTATTGTTTTTTTTTAAGCCATAAATTTATGTATATTTTCCCAAGATATTGCATGATTAAACTCATTATCAGTCGTGTGATCTAAAACTGATTTATGAGCATTTCATAGATTATAATTATTATTTTCATCATCAATATGTACTCAGGTAAATCATACGAAGCGTGAGCTGCACAACGTCTTCATTAAGAAGCTTTACCGGTAACAGAAAAAGCATCTGCCAATTTTAAATGACACTGTATATGTTTTATGCCATTTACTACTTTCCTGTATTGACTGTTGATTGGTCGGTTTGATTTTTACGATGTCAAACAGTGAGAACCTATTTGAAGAGATGCTGCAGGAGCCAGATGAAGTAGCAATGAAGAGAAAGCGCACCCGGGAAACCCTCCGAGTTCTTCAACAGGCTTTTCGGGTATGTTTTTCCTAATTGAGCTTCAGAGGTTGAAGGGCTCTAAGTTTTTTCTTTGCTTATAAACAACTCCACCTGGAACTCCGTGGAAATAGAGTCTCTGCATTATCTGTGCGCATTCTGTACATTGGTGTGTGTAGATCATCCCAATTAAATGCCAATGGCAAATTGAACTTCAATCTGGGCAAAGCAGTATGGGATTTTAGGAAATTTTGATTTTCTTGAACAAATATTTCATATTTTGACATAGGTTAATGGACATTTCATTTTCTAATATAGGTTAATGAAAACAAATTTTCTCTTCAATTAAGGCCAATACTTGTTAAAACTTCTCATCAACCTCCCCTTAAAAACGCAAAATGTTGATTGAAGTCGATTTTCAACGGAATGAAAAGGACATATATGGTAGAATCATAACTATAGAATACGACCCTAATTGAAATGCATACATTTGTCTCGTACATTATGGGGATGGTGAGAATAGATATATTTACATCCCAGAGGGGTTATAATTGGAGATACCATTGTTTCTTGTACATAAGTTCCTATAAAAATGGGAAAATGCCTACCTTGGGTGTGGTTTGGACTATTGATTTACGTAATTGGAAGTAACCAATTAGGTTTACGACGAAACCTAGAAATCGATCACTGATCCAATTTGAGTACCTCCACAGGATAGACCTCAACAGAAAACTGAAGAATAATGGCAGCAAGTGATCTCAAACAAATCACCCCTTTAGATTTCTACTTCTGCTTTGCAAAAAGTAGTCGCTGAGTATATTTTAAATTCAAAACTAAACATTTATAAAAATGTGGTCACTAATCTGTGCTACTTTACTAAATCGGAACGCTATGTTTGGTAGATGGCTGGGCAGTTTGGCTCTTGTTCTACTGGAGGTTAATATGTTGCATTTGTGGTAGTAATGTTTGGGATTTTGTATCTTTTTGGTGAATTACTTGTCGACAATGAACTCTTTTGTGTCATTACTTAAATGTGATTCTTTTAAAAAAGAAAAAAGAAATTACCGCTTTTAGATCATATGGCGGGAAGTGCTCAGTTTAGTACCTGGTACTCACAGTTTTTCTTTGTTTGTAGACATTGGATGAGCTGCCTTTGGAAGCCGACACAGTTGAAAAAGGTTACAGTTTGGGTGCTGATCCAACAGGGTTGCCAAAGATCCATGGATTGCCAACATCATCAATGTACAATACAAGTAGTTCACATGATTCCTACACAGCATCACCTAAGAATACGAAGTCTAGAAAGTCGTCTCACTCGGGGGAGCTTCACTCGCCATTTTATTCTAATGCGGATTCAAACGGAAGTGGACGCATGTACATGCCTGGTCTATATCCAACTGTTGATCAATAAGCGGTTCGAGTAGCACTGCAAGTCTTTCAAAACAGTGTCAAAGTATTATATTCATTTGATTGCTCTATCCGATTCTGGAGGTAATTGGAAGTACACCTTCAGCAGGCAGATTGTTGGGGAGTTAGTACCCGGCATTGCCTTTACGTCTGCGTATTTCTCGACCCGTTTATTTTATATGATACCATGATAGTATAGGAAGCTGATGATTGTATTGTTTTATTGTTCTTAACTAGGCCCCAAGAATAACAGGGACCTGTCTCTCTTACCTATTTTTGACAGAGTCAGATGGTTCTCTCAACTCCTCACTCTCAGATATGCATATTTATGTTATCTATATTTTTCGTTTTTCTTTTTTTTTTCCATTTGATCTCTGTTTCGAAATTATGCGTACCGCAACAACCATTTGTTAATTATCCAAGTGAGGGGAAATTTGTTTTAACTTTCTTATGTGTATTTTTTCTTGGTAAAGAGTTTTCTTATGTTTTATTTCTTTGTTGTAAGAGTAGAATTCTTATGTTTTATTGGCCATGGATCCAAAGATCAATGGGAATGTAATCACAGCCATCCTTTTACGACTCATTTTCGTCATCTTTAGTTGTGTGTGGTTTTTTTATTTATATTTATTATTATTATTATTTATTTATTTTTGTTAAGGTGCAAGCTAGTGATATTAGATGCCAATTTGTTTCGTAATTGTATATCGGGTCTAGGACCTGTAAGTCGGGGCGTCTCCAAATATTCTAAATACAAGCCGTGCCATGGTGGGTTCAACAAATTGGCAGCGCAGGGCGGGGCAAGTCCAAATGTCTTTAATTACAGTTGTCAATAAAGGAATTGAGTTGGTTTAGTGTGTAGGTTAGAAATAAACAGATAAAAATAATTTGTCTAAAATACTTTTGAATTTAACAGTTGTTTAACGGAATAGAGTGAAGTGAGTCCAAAACAGTTGAAAATGTCAGGGAATAAAGTAAGACAAAATCAATTTCAGGGGTAAATTAAGACTAAATGATTGTTACAATAAACATTTCAATTGGTAGGCCTTATTAATAATAAACAATTTTATATAAAACAAAAACAAGTGTGTCCTTCGTTAAATAATAGATTCCCACTGTGACAGTAATGTTCAAATCTCAGACAAGAGAGCAGATATAAAAATAAAATAAAATTGTAAGAGGATAGATCGGAATATAAAGCTGTCAAATATAATTCCACCTGCAAAGACAGACAGCTGTCAAACATATGGTTGATGACTCAGGAATAGAATTCTCTTCCCTTATATTTTCATTCCCTTTCCTCATTCCTCTTCCATTTTGTTTTTTTGTTTTATTATTTCTATAAAAAAATTAATATTGTTGTAAACATTCCTAGAATAAGTATGATTGTGTAAATCCTAGATTAGATTTGATTCTAGTTATCCTTTCCTATTACAACTTGTATTACTTGGAGGAGAAGGAATATCTTCTCTCCATTTACTACTATAAATAAAGGCACAATGTAGGAGGGATAACAACACACACATTCCCCTACAATTCTACAAACACACATCTCTCTCATCTCTCTCCACTGCCGCCGGCCCTCTCTATATTGTCAGATAAAAATAGACCACAACACGTTATCAGCACGCTCCTACCGTTGTGCTTAGGAATCTGACGTTGGAGATTTTTTCTGCATCAAACCAGTTCATCCATATCATCACGCAATCAGGTTCTTTCCAAACAACGGCTTTTAACTCGATATTTTACAAGTCCTGATAGCATGAACATTCACCATGATGCATGACCCAACTTTACGTTTAACGTATTTTAGATTCTACATAAATTGTGTATGCTTCATAACCAAAATTGCTACAATTATGTGAATTTGATATTTGCCATGAATTGAATCTTACATATGTACATGCATTGAAACTATTATTTGCATATGCATCAACGTAAATATGTGATTCATTAGAATTATACATGCATATAATATAATTGAATTAAAAATAAAATAAAATAAAAAATTTTGCGATTGGGGAATTAGGGTTCTGTTCGAACCCGTGCACTTGCACCATGCAAGCCATAAGCCACCAGGCTCGTAGCCTGCGATGGCCCAACTCATTCCCCATGCTTTCCCGAGCCGAGAACCAATCCTGGAGCCACGGCTCCAGGCCCAACACCCAGACCCGACGCCCAGAAGGCGTCGCCACCCATGAAATCGTCAACCAACATGGTCTGCAGCCATGCCCAGTTACCCTCGATGACCTGCAGTCATCCCCAACGAATTTTTGTCTGAAAATTCGATTTTTTTTTTAAAATTACAATCGAATTTCTAGGGTTTTACAATGAATATCGAGATTTTTTCAAATCTCCGTTCACCCCCATGGTCACCATGACTCAAATCGAGTCTTAAACAACACCCCGACTGACGCCAGAAGCGCCAGGTCCGGTGTTCTTCTCCGGCGACACACACCCAGCACTCGCTGGGGTGTTTGATCCCAAAAACCCGAGCCCTAGTGGGCTCCTGTCCCTCGGCCTGCATCAGCGCCCTTTGGGCTTGCTGCTGCTCTGAGATGTCACGGCCCAGCCCGTGCGGGAAAAGAAAAAAAAAACAAAATTTTTTTTGGCTCGCCTGAAGCGACCCATGAGAAAAAAAAAGAAATTTTTTTTTTGGGCTGCACACAGCACCCCATTCCCCTTACCCATGTCTCCCCGTGAGCTCCATGTGCCACCTGTGGGCTTTGCCTATATTTTTAGGCCCCAAGATTTTATTATTTAATATTTTTAAATAATATGGGTTTTTATATTTTCACCCACACTTTAATTTGGCCCCGAAGACCAAATAAATTAATTCAATTATCATTATACAATATTTTTGCATATATTTGTTGCATATTTGTTTGCATATATATTTGTGTTTGCCTGCAGGAATATATGAACCTGAAGTTCATAATTACTTGAAACCCGAAGTTTCTTATAAACATGCCTTGTTTGAAAACCTGAAGTTTTCTCTTACACATATCACCCATGAAAACCCGAAGTTTTTCATGCAAAATTAAACCAATACATGTCTATTAGAACCTGTATGTTCTACTCCTATGTGAATGGATTGATTTTTCTCCATTACACTAACCACATCTTGTCCATCTATTTGTGATAGGAACATGTCGAATTTGAACAAACTCGACTTCACCGCTTTGGAGGTCTCTGGAAGGAACTACCTCTAGTGGGTTCAAGATGTGACGCTCCACCTCACTGCCAAGAACTTGCGTCCTGCTATTGAAGAAGCAACAACTGAACCTGTTGGCGAAGCTGAAAAAGCCACTGCTATGATCTTCATCCGAAGACATATTCATGACGCTCTGCAAACTGAGTACCTTGCTGAGGAGGATCCACGTGCATTATGGGTCGCTTTGGCTGATCGTTTCGATCACCAAAAGGACATATTCTTGCCTGAAGCAAGACACGACTGGCAGCACTTGCGCTTCCAAGACTTTAAGTCTGTGAATGAATATAATTCTGAAGTTTGTCGAATCCGATCACTTCTCAAGTTTTGCAATGAAACTTTGACTGAAGAGGATCTCCTGGAGAATACCTACTCGACTTTCTCTGCTTCTAATATTGTCTTGCAACAACAATATAGAGCTCAGAAGTTCACTAAGTTCTCGGATTTGATCTTTGTTTTACTTCTTGCTGAAAAGCAGAACCAGCTGTTGATAAAGAATCATCAAGCTCGACCTACTGGGGCTACTGCTGTGCCTGAAGCACATTATAGCACTAATTAGCACCTAAAATGCCAAAAGAGGTGTGGTAAAGGTAGCCAGAAGCCATCCCACCAAGGTCAACAGAGTCAAAGCTCATCCAAGGGAGGAAACAAAGCCCAGAAGCGCCCAAACCTCGCTCCTAAGGCCCTGAACTTCAAGAATAAGGGCAAAGCACTTGCCACAATGAATGATGATATGTGCTATCGTTGTGGTTCAAAGGACCATTGGTCCCGTATTTTCCGTGCTCCCAAGAAGGTTGTTGATGAATATCATTCTCGTCGTAAGAAGTTTGAATCAAACTTCATGCAAGTGGACGAATCGGAGACTACAAAGATGGAGGTTTCTGACTTTCAGGAGGATACCACTCCTATGGAATATTAGAATCTTAGACATAGACTTTTTTTTAGTTGAAATAAGACAATTGGGGCCGAATTCCACATAGTGGCCGCACCCTACCTTGTTTTTTGGTTGATTTTGAACAATTTTCCTTCATGTTTTGGATTATTAGTTGGCGATTTATTTTGGATATTCAGTTTTAATCCTTGAATAAATGAAATTATTTTGAATTGATACTTGTTTTTATAAACTTTTATGCATGTGACCAATTCAAATTAATTTTTCATTCTAGGTATGACTAGTGGGAAAGTTAGTTGTCTGGCAGATAGTGCAACCACACATACTGTTTTGCGTGAACGCATCTATTTCACTAACTTCGTACCTAAGAATGCACCTCTGACAACCCTCTCAGGCCCATCCAACCTGATAGAAGGATACGGTAATGCATGTATAATGTTGTCCAATGGTACAATCTTGACCATTGCTGAGGCACTCTATTCTCCACGTTTCGAAAGAACGTTACTAAGTTTCAAGGACATTAGAGATAACAATTACCACGCTGAAACCCACGTAGAAAACAGAGTTGAATTTCTGTGCGTAACTTCCTATGAATATGGCCAGAAGCGTATTCTAGAGAAGATGGAGCGTAACCCGAGTGGTCTGTATACTACGACCATACGCCCCATCGAATGCCACTATGTGGCCGGCCCTACCACAGGGACCGCGCACGAAATTACACTTTGGCATGATCGTTTGGGACATCCTGGACGAATAGCGATGCGCCGTATCCTCAAAACTTCACACGGGCATCCATTAACCCGAAGCTTAGGTTCGATCCATGTCGAACTTGATTCACTTGCGAAACGTAAGGTGTTTGGACCTGTAGTTCCTACTCCTCCACATGTGAAGCCCGTTGGCTACAAGTGGGTTTTCGTTCGGAAGCGTAATGAGAAGAACGAAATTGTGCGTTACAAAGCTCATCTTGTAGCACAAGGTTTCTCACAACATCCCGAGATTGACTATGACGAAACTTACTCACCCGTTATGGATGTGATTACTTTTCGATACCTTATCAGTTTGGTAGTTTCCGAAAAACTGGATATGCAGCTGATGGACGTAGTAACCGCGTATCTCTATGGGGATCTTGATACGGAAATTTATATGAAAGTTCCCGAAAGACTTACATTGACTGGTTCAAATATTTCCAAACCCCGAAACACGCTCTCAATTCGGCTGAGGCGTTCACTATACAGTTTGAAACAATCCGGAAGAATGTGGTATAACCGTCTGAGTGAGTATTTGACTAGTCAGGGATATGTGAACAACGAACTATGCCCTTGTGTGTTCATTAAGAAGTCACATTCCGGATTTGCGATTGTTGTAGTATATGTCGATGACATGAATCTCATCGGAACTCCTGAAGAGCTCGCGAGAACTGCTTCGCACCTGAAGTCGGAATTTGAGATGAAAGATCTAGGAAAGACTCGATACTGTCTCGGTC